CCTCGGCAGATGTTGGCCAGCCACTGGGCCACCAGCAGCTGGTGCTCCCTCTGACCCACGAGGTCGGGCAGCCACTGCAGGAGCAGCAGCAGGGGCTGGTCGTTACTGATACCAAGGCGATTAGCGTGGATGTGCTCCCCCTCAACAGCCTGAGGGACAAAGTGGAGATCAGATGATAAAATGGAGTTACAGTTTAAACTTTGTCACAGAAAATGATACTGTTTAAAATAGAACATAAATAGGTCATAAATAAGAGCAAATCGTCTCTGAGGGGACGATGAGGAATTGTGTGTTTCACCATGTTCATCAGCTCCTGCAGCAGCCGTTTGGTGGGTTGACCTTGACTCTTGAGCACATCAAATAACTGGGAATATCCAATTCTCTCCTTGAAAACCTCCTGATGGAAGAAGGGACAGAAATAGTCTGAAAAAAAAGCTTCACAGGGGAAACTGATTTGGCACACTTTCAGATCTGAGACGATGAGCGACACAGGATTATCCTGAAGCTCTTACCTTTGCAGAGGGTGAATTACTCATTATAGCAGTGAGGACACCCAGAGCATGGACTGTAATACTGTCTGAGCCCTTCTCCAAAACCTGCATTGGAAAACAAGGAAATACAAAGTAATATTATCATAAGGCCACAGAAGGGTTAAAGTTTTTTTTCTTTTTAAAACAAAAACAAATATAAATCAGTTTAGAACTCGTTTCAAGCAGACAAATGATTTTGTAACATCAATTATTGTACTGTAATTTTGTATAGTTCCATGAGACCCACAAGTTCCCACTAAACACCATTCTTAATAAAGCGGAAATTACCTTAGTAAAGTCAAGGTCAAAATGATTGTAAATGCCCAAATATGTCAAAAATATATCACAAATGTTTTTATACAGAAGAAGAATTTTGGAAGCAAACATCACTGAACCGAGCATCTCACAGTATTGAAATCACTATCCTCGCTTGTGCTTTTAGCAAAACAGTCTTTTAGTTGGGAATCTGGTCTTCTGTTCCCTCTGGGACTTCCTCTGGGGGGCGCCAGAGCTGTTCAGGTAGGTGACTAAAGAATAAATAGTGAAGTCTCATCTCTACTAGCCAACTAGCCTGTGTTTTACACACACACAGCGATTACTTCAATCATTATTTCATGTATTGATTTTCAAAGGTTGGTGTTGGACAATAATTTTTGAGGAAACTTTTCGGCCAATTTTAGAAACTGTAAATTAAGCAGTAATATATATAATAACATCTGTTTGCTCTCAGGGATGTGTTTGGGGGTCACTGTTAATTTTAGCTGGATCTTAAAACCCTTTCTTTAAGGTTTTTTTTGTTTGTTTTTAAATACTTTTGAAAAACAGCTTCCGATTCCTTCTGATTTAGGAAAAAGCATTCATCATAGTTGCTCTAGTTTTTTTCCTCTCCCTCTGTCTCCTCCAGACTTCTGCATGACTAAAAGGTTCTAGTTTTGTCTCATCTGAGTGAATACAGTAATATGCAGTATCCAGTATGTGTCTGCAGGATGACCCTGGCTGAGTTTCCTCTTTTTTTCTGTTCTGTACCTCACTGTCTGAAACAACTATAGACAGTTTATTAGTCACTGGTGTCATGGCCGTTACACCATATCATCCGCCTTCAGTTTCTGCGAGGTTTTAAACTCTTCAAACTTTTCATTAAAGTTTTTTTAAACTTTTCATATTTTGTCAACATTTTATTAGGTCTTTACGCATTTTGTTTTGGAGCTAATGCTTTCAAACGCTTAAACACCAAACCCATGTGAAGGGTACAGCATATGTGAGAGATAAAACTTGGTTCAACTTTGAATGTGAGAAAATACAAACGTGGTAAATTATGCTGGTGTATCCAGAAAACTGGTAAAAAAAAATACCTGTTCTGTATGAAGACACTTTAGAAATATTTGAAATTATTGCATTGCATTCCATAGAACGGCTAATAATTTGTTTTCAATTGTAAGTGAGCGACTGTGTTCACCCAAAAACAAAAAAACCCACTTTAATATCTTCAAATATCTGCATGCAAAAAACACCCCAAACCAAACAAAGCACACCACTGAAGGAAGGTTGAGGCAACTCCTAAGTACTGCAGGAAATTGGGCAATGTCAAGCACCAGGACATGCCCCACAAGCCCCATCAGTCACAGAGCCGAGCAGCCATAAAAGGAGGAAAAAAAGACAAATGACAAATTCATGCACAGCAGAAAACCAGAGAGTGCCCTTCATGCCCAGGGGTGTCAACAGGGAATTCAGCCTCTAATCATCAATTTAATATGGAGATTTTCAAACAGGCAATGATTAGTTATATGATCACAGCAGTTTATTCTCATGATTATATCAAATTGGATAAACAGTGTCCAGAATCGACATATCTGGTCTGGATACCCTCACTGTCGGGGAACATGTATAACAGACAACAAAAAAATAAATAAAGTTGCTTGTTTTCAATTATTATTACTATTTTTTGATAGATTTCCTGTCTAAAGTTCCCTGTTTAAACAAGTTAAGAAGGCTGAGTTTCCTGCCAACAGGCCAGTATCAACACAACAAGTGGGGCAGGGTGGATGCTGGAGGAGTCAGTACCTGGTCCACATCGATCTCTGTGAGTAAACTTGTGGTGAGGTCAGACACAACCTGACGCTCCGACCTACGCCTGTTGCTCTGATAGAGCTACAGGGCATCCAGAGACACACGCGCACAGGCAGGCAGCAACACACATACACACACATAATACAAAAAGACAGACAGACAGTTAGACGAGTAGTCAACTGTGAGCGGTCAGACAGACAGGTTTGACTCTGATCTCAGAACAGCTGAAGACACAAGGACAAACATGGACTGGTGGTTTCAGATAATTGTCACAAATACAAACATTTCATTAGAAAGGTTGACAGACAGTCAGACAGGGGAAGCAGACAGACAGGTGGCAGAGATCTGACCTTGCTGTTCTGAATGAGCCTCAGTATGTGTTCAAAGCAGTTGTTGTTCAGGAAGATCGCCTGCAGGACGGGTCTGTCCGGGCACTGGAGAATCTCAGGAACAGCAGCTAAGATTGACAACACGATGGACGTTGACTCATCATCACCGTTGATCAAACACTGGGAACCAGGATTATTTGGTTCCAACACAAACCTGGGAGGAGACTTTTAGACTTACTTAGCATTTGGCTCTGAAGCAAGATCAGATTCTCTTCCCAACTGTTCCTGTCCAAGTCCTCACTGCTAAGCGGACGATTCCAGTTGAGGAGCTGGAAGTAGCTCTCCAGTATGGTCCTGATCTCTATCTGCCGTTCTGCAGGACTGCTGGAGTGCAAGAGGTGAATCATGGCCGTCAGGCACTGCAAGGTCATCTTTGGGAGCCTAGTGTCCTTTGGTGAGGAAGAGGCCCGCAGACACCACGCTCGCAAAACAGAAAACAAGTCCTCCACAGAGTGAGGGGTGATGGAGAGGAGACCGTTTTTCTGAAAAACAACAGACAAGGTGACTCCCTTTTAATGTCCTGCCGTGTTTGCTGCAGACTAATCACAGGTGAAGAGCGTGAACACGAGAGCAGACCTTTCCTCCACTGATGACGGCCCCCTGGAGATGGACCAGTCTGAGTGTAAGGATCTCTGGGATCTGCTCACTCTCCTGTAGACTCTCTGTTAAAACGCAGCCAGAAAACTTCATGAAAAACTGATGAGGACATTCACGATAAATAATGAATTAATATATATATATATAGTGAACAAGGTACAAAAAACAAATGAGAAACAAAACTATATAAAAATAGTTACTATTAGTCTGTAACTATGAGTTCTTTCCACAAACAGAAAATCAAATAAATATAAGAAAAACAGCTAAAAGCCATGAATGTAGCTGATGGTAGTTAAAATGGTCCAAAAGATCAAATAAGCTTTGAGCAGGAACTTGTTTTATCCAAAATAAGATGGAAATGTGATGACAAGATAGCTAAAAGTAATCCAAAAGGTAACTTTAATAATTTAAATATTTTTAGTAGTATTACAAAAAAAGCCAAATACAAAGTCTAACAAAACAAACAGTTAATGGTTATTGGAGCATAATGTTAGCTCCAATAACATCTGACTTCAAGCAGTTAAAATTGACCAGATGCTGAACCTTACTGCAGGACTTAGTGGTAAAAAAACAATTTTAGTGTTTTTAGGAAAGGAAAGGGTTAGCTTATCTTACAAATAATATAAAAA